GTGTCTGTACAGCACTGGTTCCTCCTCTGCAGGAGTTTGAGAGGGAGAAGCATGCCCACAGTGTCCTGCGGTTCCAGTTTGCCGAGGTGCAGGAAGCCCTGAAGCAGAGACAAGAAATGCTCGAGGTAGGTGCCCTGCCTGTTTCTCTCTGGTGTGTGAGGGTGGAGAATTGCGTTGTCGAGGACTCATGGTGGCAGTCCTCTCAAAACTGAAAGTGGCTCATTCTCAGACCTCACATCAGGAGTGGGTCCTCTCATGGGTGAAGAGTCCCTTCTTCTGTGGAAGGGATTGCATTTGTTTTGAGGAGGTTTGGGAGATAGAATACTGGTCCCCAAAGATGTCCACCTCCAGCTCCCAGAAACCAGGAAAGTGTTAACCTTACGTAATGTGAGGACATTGTTGATATGTTTGAAATGGTCTGCAGAAGGGAATGGCTTTCCAGGAGGCCCAGGAGTTAGGGCTAGAGTCCTCATGAGAGGAAGGCAGGAAGGTCACAGGTGAATTAACAGGTGGGATGGAGAGAGCGCGGCAGGTCCTCAGCCTGCAGGTGGGCAGGACCACCACACAGGGAATGTGGGCGGTTACCTAGGAACTGAGCAGACAAGGGCAGACTCTTCCAGAGCTCCTGGACGCCCTGCCCACACCTGCTGTGAGCTATGAGCAGGTACGTCCGCACGGGCAGGCCTCAGCTGGCACAGGTTCGGTCCCAGGCTGCCACAAGATGTCACATGTGCAAAAGTGAGCCATGGCTCTTCTAGCGGAAAGATGACATTTTTATGATACTGCAGTTAGCACAAGCTTGATGAGAAAGTTTGCCGTATTGTGAGGATGACACAGATACCGATTAATCACTCACTGTTGGAAAAATAATGCCAACAGGCTTGCTTGATGCAAAGTTGCCTCAAACCTTCCATTTGTTAAAAACCCCCAAACTTAGTGCTTGCAAAACACCAGAAAGACAGCGCAATGCAGCGAGATCTGCCTGTCGTGAGCCCTGCAGGTTGTGGCCATGTGATGGCAGGCGAGAACAAACGCACAAAGCTAGCTTTTGGTCTTTAACCTCATCAGCCCCCATCTAGTTTCTCTGTAGAAATAAGACCTCCTCCGAGCAGGTGGATTTTTCTTCGTGGAGCAGAAAGCTAGGGAGCTCTAGACCTGGACATAAGGAATTGCACTGTCAACCCCAAGATGTGCAGTTCAAATCCGTCAGCAGCTTCACAGGAGAAAGATGGGCAGTCAAGTCCCATACGATCTACTGCCTTTGAAAACCCACTGGAGGGCCGGCTCTGAGTCGGTCACTACATAGGTTCAGAGTTCATGAGCTCAAGGGCCCTCGGCCTGCAGACTTGGAGTGGACGCAGTGGGCAGCACAGCGCTCAGCCCAGCTGGTCCCAGATTTTTCCCTCCTATTCACCTTTTCTCCTGCTTTCTTTCTATCTCTTCCTATCCCCTCAGGAAATCCGACAGCTACAGCAGAAACAGGCGAGTTCTAGCAGGGAGATTTCTGATCTTCAGGAAACTATAGAGTGGAAAGACAAGAAGATAGGGGTAGGAATCCTGTGTTTGAAAAGCTGCTGAGTTGGGTGGTCTGCTTAGCAGATGTCTTCTGAGTGTTTGGTGTGCTCAGAGCTTGTGTCAGTGTGCATGCAACCCCTACAGGACACAACATTCAGGTGGAGATGCCTCTCAAACAGGCCGGCATGAACTCAGCTTGAAGCTGACTCTAAGCCTGAAAGTTGGCATCTGCCAGCACTGGCGAGCCCTCGCTGGCTGTGCCAGGAGCAGAGTTGAAACCTGCAGGGTAAAGAAGGCGCTGTGTGGCGGGGTTCAGGGGTAGCTGCACTTTCTCACGGAGGGTTGGTGAGCTGCCTGGTGGCAGGTCCAATGCCCCATATATGTGTACCTTGAACTCTACCCCCAAGGAAGGTCACCCAGACACCTCCTCTCCAGGAGAGGAAGGAAATGCACCCACTGTTAGGCCTGAAGGAGGAGGATTAAGAACCTCACGAAGTCCGTGAGATGTTAAACGGGGCCAGGTGGCTTCTAGACAGGAGTCACAGGTGCAGGACAGCACCTGGCATGAGCAGCCCATGCCTTCACGTCTCTGCTCTGCACAGCAGCATGGAGGGCCGTTTGTGTGCTTGCTCTGGGGCCACAAGAGGCAGAAATCCACGGAGAAGAAAAAGCTCCTTAGACGAGGACGGCTGCGTTCCAGGAGCTGCTACTCACTCCTCTCCCTCTTCCTTCTTGGCTTATTTAAGGAGCACTTTCCTCGGTGCTTTGTCTCTCACCCACAGCTGGGAAACCACAACTTAGAAGTTAAAAGTGATGCCCGTAAAATAGCCCTGGTGTCGGGCACGCTGGTCCTGGCTTTGCAGCGCTGGCCTCTTTCTGTGAGCATGCTCTGCAATGCATTCGTGCTGCATGGACCAGCAGAGACCTCACCTGTGCTGTGTGTGTGCTTCTCAGCATGGCCTCTGTGAGCCGTGAAGCTCTGTGG